CTGCGCTCTCGCACACCTCTCTCTCTCTCTCTCTCTCTCTCTCTCTCTCTCTCTTCCCCTCTCTCCTCGGATCCGTGCCGCTCGAAGGGATTATCGCGAGTGAGACGGAGCGAGACGGTTCTCTAGGAGGTAGACGTAGCGTGTGCATCGGTGCACCACTCCTACCAACCAGGTGGACACACCGGAATCCTCCACCAGACGCGGCGAGCTCGTGTCGAGGAGAGGAGAGAAGAGAGAGAGAGAGAGAGAGAGAGAGAGAGAGAGAGAAGGCTCGAGAGGAGGCCGGGTGTAACGTTCTCGCTATCTCCTCTCTGTCGTTAATCGCGGTGTAACCTCTCTCGGCCGACTAATTCACCTTTGTAACTGTACCGACACCCCACCGAGATCCCCTCTTCGTGGATCATTAGTTCCTCCTTTTTTTCCCCTCTCGAGGCGAGGCGATCTTCTTTCTCTCCTGGCTTTCCCGGAACGAAAGCACGAGTTTCAAAAATTCTTCACCATTCCCCCCCCCCCCTCCCCCTCTCTCTATGCATTTACGCGTCTCGCGGATATTCATCGATGACACGAATGATTACGAATCGCGTGTCATCGTTGCGTCTTTGCTTCTTTTTTTTTTTTTTTTTTATTAATAATCGTTTCGATAGTGCGTCAACGTGCTTCCATCTTCTTTTCTCCCCTCTCATTCCTCCGGAGAAAGATCCTCCATCAGATTGTTAGACGGATCTCGTTTCGCTCGGTGGTCGGGCCGCCTGTAATTCACCTCTGTAACTGTACTGTGATTGCCCCACCATCGAGGCTGGTTGTTGGCGACGGTGACGAGCCGGTTGTCCTAGGACCGGGCCAGCTCGTTACGGTTTCGTTCACGCTTCGTTCGAACCCCTACCACGATCGATCGCGGCTCCTTTCGTTCGCTCGTCTCCGAGCGGAACCCGACCGGTCGGGATCCTCGCCGATCGATTGTCATCGTGATGTGTCTCTTTCTTTTCGGAGAAAGCGAAGCGAATTTTAATCCGACCGTTGATTACATCGTTTCAATTTTGCCCCATCTTTTATTTCGCGTTATCCACGAAAATTACACCGAAAATTACACCGAAAATTACACACGAACGTTACACACGTAGTCACAGGAATACTGGTTTTATATTTTTCTCTCATCCAGTTTTTTTCCTTCCTTCTGCTCCCCTCCCCCTCTTCTGCCAAACCAGTGTCTCTTAATTTTATACCACGTAGACGCTGGTAAGGAAGTCGTAACGATCCGAGTTAAAAATGCTCGCGGAATTTTTTGGCTCGGTCGGAATCCTATTCCTTATTGGCGATCTATTTGTCGGCAACGAGGCACCGTTTTTTTTAATTAGCGAAGCTGCGAGGCTGTCCGTCGGTTGCATCGCGCAAATTACTCATCCTTGCGCCGCCATATTTGGCGGAAACTTTATCCAAGTTCTGGCTTTCTGGGTCAATCTCTGGTTAGCTTCTTAGCTTTAGGTTGCCCGAGACGCCCGAGAAACTAAGCACGCCGAGTAAATCGAGGAGGCAGTGTACGTGTATATACACGCCTCGAGACCTTAGATCATCGGATCCTCGTGGATCTGCTCGCTCCGCCTTGTTGCGCAACCATCACCGCCGTCGGTGATCTCGGGCACAGCAGTCCTGACACAGTTACCTGGTCAGAACGTTACGGCCGGATTAAAAGAAATGAACAAGAAAAAGAAGAGAGAGAGAGAGAGAGAGAAAAGAAAAGACGGCGAGAAACGGCGAGAGCCACTCTCCTCCGACAATCTTCTCTCCCTGTGCTTACGACTTTCCTTCGTCCGAACTTCGTATCTCTTTCTTCCTCCGATCTTAGAAAAGTTTTTTCTAGACAATTCAAAAAGAGATTCTAAAAATTTTTAAAAATCCAATTTTTAAATAGATACCGATCGAAGAGATAATCGGCACAAGGAAAGATGACTTCGAGATAAAAGACGAACGAACGTAAGATTCACACCGCTCGAACTATCGAGATTATCGTGGCCGTTTTCGTAAGATCGATACGAGGCGTACGAGCTCATTATCGCGATCCCCGCTGTCATCGAGCGGATGCACACAATGAAGGGCGCTCGCTAAATTGGCGAGTTGGTGTCAATCAAAAGACCGTCGATCGTGATATTTCAGGCTGCTGACAATAGGTAGGTCGGAATTCGCGACCACGTCGCAACGGATTCTTCCCTCTCGCATTCTATTCTGTACGATGACACTTCCCGCGGGATCGACGCGACACACGCGGTGAGAACCCGTCATTAGGCGCCTACGCGCGCGCGAATATCGCGAGCCGACCCACGACGGAATTAAGGAGAAACGAAAGAATCGTTAGGCGATCGTTCGATGACGACATTCGGAAACGGCTTGATCGTCTTGATTTCAAAACAAAATTTGTTATATTCTCCAATCGAAACTGCTGTAATGTAACTTATATCGGTGAAAGTAAGAAAAATATGAAGTTTCTCTTCGTTAAAACGAAGAAGATCGGAGGGGTTGAAAAATCGATCGAACCTTCACTTCATATTTTTCGCGAATCCGTGCTTTCGATTCCGTTCCTTGGTGGCGATATTTTCGCAACGGGTTTGTCGAGGGTCTACGAAAAAACGAATCGTGCGGATCCCGCGAGCGGATCGAGAATCGGTTGACGCCGTTAAAGGAAGATTTAGAGCGAGAGTTGGCGCAAGGTGGCGCGAGAAGCGCAATAACACTGCGGGCGGGATTCGAGAATAGGCAATAAAAGAGGAGAATCTTGGACACCGCATGGAACCACCGATGGATCGAGCCGTTGCGATACGATCGAACGATTGCCAATGGGCTGGGATATTTCGCGATGCCTCCTCGATTGTGCGCCACCTTGCCGACCCAATTACCAATCCCCCGCTCGAGTTTCATTAGAATTTGTAATCGCCCGGTGTGTTGAATCCGCGGCAGAAATCATCGTTGAATCTGTCTTCTTTGCTGTAATTCGTGTGTGTTTTGTACGATCGCTTGTCTCTCTCAGTTTTTCTGAGATTGAACGAGTGAAAGGCATGTAATTTGGATTAAAAATTTTATTACGATATTTTAAAGGTGAACGAAATTTTATCTTAATTAAGCGAATATTAATCGGACACTTATTATTCTACATAACTAATCCCACGTTTCACTCCGATTATCACGAGAGTCAGAGCTACGAATGAAACAAAGGCGTGACGGAGTAGTTATACCGC